GAGGAAAAACTCCCTTTAACGGAAGAAACCTCCGACAGACCCCGGCTCTTGGTGGGCGGCCTTCTGCCTCGACCGGTTGGGGTGAGTAGATAGAGGAGAGACAAAAGAAGAAAAGCAACAAGACACAACAATCAAACACTGATCAGGTCGGTGTGGCTGGTGACTGCTCGTCAGAGACATAGAGCTCCAGGGCCAGGGCTACCTGAAATTGATATTGGATTAGCATTTGTTGGATATGTGTAAAATTATGTGTGTTGACATATCAACTGTCTTTACATGCTTGAAAGAATAAATAAAATAAATAAATAAATAGTAAAGAAAGGGGGGAAATGGCAAACAGTGCCAGAAAAAGAAAACCCGAGGGTAAAGGAGGGAAAAAAAAAAAATCAAGATCAGAGAGAAGAGCTGGAGGAGGACATAAGGATGAGGAATGGCAAGAGCCTATATGACCTCCCCCTGTTATCCTGGTCTACCCTTCTTCCTGCTCTGTTATTCCACATCTCTCTATCCCTGCCCCACCCCTCTCTCTCTCTCTCAATCTCTCTATTCTCCTGCTCTCGAGTCGACCTGCTCAGACAGGGGTGAAGAGTTCAGGCGCTTCAAAGACTGCAGTGTGGAGACTGCATGTCATATGGGAGCCACAGCAGCCTTGCCTGCAGACTTCACAGACAGCTGCTGCTACAATTGATCCTCGACCAGCTAGCTCTCAGTAGTTCGGCCTTCCGACGATTGCAAACTGCAGCTACATCTGACTCTAGAGCAGTGTGTTTGATGAACAGCCCGTAAGGAGCCAGATATGGCCCTTATGAAGCGGCCCTGAATAAAAACATTTGGAACAAGCCAGAGCTGGTCCAATGCTGAAACTTTAAGGTCAAGACAAAAGAGAGAAGAAATGCCTCTGTGATTTCTGTAATTACATCTGCATATGAACACATATAAAGCAAAGGGCAAAAGGAATCAACTCCATATTTCTGTAAACAGAACTATAGGCAGCGATAAGATACCAATGAGACAGAATATGGAGGATGGGAGTAAGGAGGTCGGCGAGCGGCCATACTGAGGACACCATCAGAGCAGTGCAGTTAATATGAAGTAATACTGTGCAGTAACACCAATGTTGTGAATCAGTGTGCTGGGATAAACCACGCTGAGTAAGCTATATGTATTTTAATATATAAATATAATTTGTAAAGTATTGTAATTTCAGTGCTCCTTTGACTTAGCTGCCTAGAAGCTGACAAAATCTGTTTCCTGTATTATTTGACCTGTACAAATATGAGTAATTTTGATAGTAAAATTGTTCTGTTTGTCACATAACATTTACTGATTAATAATGATGATGATGAATAAGAGCCATGATACTTTTTCTTAGACTTCAACTTACTGTCCATGGTGCAAAAGGCGGGAGGAGTGAAACTGCAGTGAAAACAGATCTAAAAAGAGCCAAATTTATTTTCAGTTCTCCATCACTGCAATGGAAGTAATGGTGCATAATCTAAACAAACACATTCTACAACCAAGGGACACATAATGATAAAACGTAAGTTCCACTTCCCTTGACCACGTCCTTACAGCTACCTGAAGGCAGCAAGAGATGTACAGGGTGTCTGATCTATCTGTAGCAAGTGCAGAGCCATTATGCACACTGATCCACTGTGGTTACCTTGAGGAAACCACGCATGGTCAACCAGGCTGCTGCATACTGCCACTTTAGTTATTGCTTTTTAATTAATGCATCTTAATATCACTCTGTCACCAGAGTTGGTGAACAAAACCAGGGATAAAACACCTGTTAATATTAAGCCTACAATCCGAATGCTAACAGGAAATGCCTGTGCTGTAAGTAAGTTGTAATATCAACAAAAAAGAACCTCATAAGCTAAAACTCTGTCGCTGTCAGTTTGGGTCAAGGTCTTTCTGTTCCTTAGAGGTCAAAATTGCTTAATACAATTTTTATTAGATGGGTAAATAGCGCTGTAGAGTGAAGAGGGCCTGTAAAATGTCCTCAGAGATGGAAGGCCTGTTCCTAAGGAATGAGGAATGAGTTAAGCGAGTACAAAGTGTGATTTCACACCTATAGTGACGGTGGCTGGCTGGTGAGTGGGTGGCACGGCTGTTGCCCACACGATGCCAGTCTGCCAGGGCACCACCTAGGGCCCTGAAACCCCCCAACCCCTCCCCCTTTCCTGTGACGCCATGTTCCCCTTGCCCTACAATGCCAGTGCCCATCTGGTAGGACACGTTAGCCACTGGCACCAGGGACTATTTAGTCTGGCGTAATTAGCCCCCAGACACCAGCAGCAGGGTTTTAAACAGATGTGGGGGAGGTAGCGCTCGTGAGGCGACTCAACTCGACCAACCAATGTTTGATAAGAAAGAGGAGAGAGGGGGAAAGGAGAGGGAGGAAGAAGTGACCTAGTTAAAGGAATGATGCAACTCATGTTACAGCACAATGAGCAGTAATGATGACAACCCCACTTGCTCTGACTGTCCAGTGCTATGGTTGAGGAAGATGAGCAGCAGAATTTAATTAGGTTGTGTCCATTTGCTGTTCTGACAAGCAAGAATGAGGGAATAAGCACTTTTTAACATTCAGTTATTGATGTTTTGAACAAAGAAAATGCTTATTTTATGTCCCCCGTTGTGATTTCCCTATTTAAGTATCCCTACTGGGTTACTGTGTTCTCTAACTGACCTTTGCCGTGGGACACGGGGAGGTTACAATGTAGACTGCCCTTGAACCTCATGACCATAATCACACGTGACTGTAACGGTTTTGACCTTTCCTTGGCTTTCTCCTTTCCTCCTCACCATCTTTCTTTCCTTCCCTTCCCCCCAGGGTCATTTCAGGGTCCAGACTCTTGTCAAGGCTGTCACTCTCGACAGCCCTCTCCATCTACCACCCCCGCTGTTGCCATGGTAATGGACGGCTCTGCGCTCCGAAGACAGCGTGAGGGGGCAGAGGGAGCCAGCGGACGGATGAACGGGAGGGGATAAATGCTGCCTGTGCTGCTTGAGGACCAAATAAATTGGTAGGATGTCAGTGCAGGGATTGGAAATGGCAGCAAGGATATGAAAGACAGATGATTAACAGGGATAAAACAAAGAACACAGGTGGAGGCAGTACAGTGGAGGAATTATATTTTACACACAAAGGCCAATGTCTTGTATTTCTGTTAGCTTAGAGTAACCATGTCATTTTTGTCTTCCTCAAATGCACACATAGAGGCTCATCCACACACACACAGGGAAACATGACCCGGGGGCATGCGGTAGAGCAGCGCACATGTAGTACCACAGAGCGCCCAGCCAGCATGAGTCATACTGAACACCAGTCAACCCAGAGAGAACAATGGCAACTGGTGTGTGAGGTTGTCTGTCAAGCACGCTCACACTGGCACAGGATGAACAGCCACGGATGGAGCAACGCCCCACTGCACTACCATCACGGATGCATATTTGCACAAGTGTTTCACATTACAAATTTAATGGCTGCACAATTCCAGTGCACTTATTATTCCAGTGTTGAAATCATCCTGGTATTTCTTCGAAAGGAAAGGCAGTTCATGAGGCCTGCCAGGTTTTAGACCGACTAAAATTTTAAAACTGTTTTGTTCAGAAAATACATGTATTGCAACTAACTGCCACATAAGGAAACAACACAAAGCTAGAAAAGCCAGTTCTGTTGGAGAGACACACTCCAGCAGCCCACAGTGGACAAACACCTCTCCATAACACACTTGTACTAAACCTGGTATTCATACGATACAAAATAAAGACCCAAGCTGCAGCCCCTGCCTGGGTATTTGTTACTAATATTCTTGCTGTGCTCAAACCATTAGCTATAAAAGCTAAATCATGCTGCACTGGGTGATATCACAGTGGGTCACACAGACATGGTGCATGTCAAAAATATTACCTTCTAACTGTTTGCACCGGAATGAAGGCCAAGTCAGGGATGTTTTAAGTTCAACAACACAAACAGATACAGTATATATTCTGGCATTTGTGGGCCTTGTACAGGGACTAAAGAGAAAACAACGTCTATATTACCGGTTTCACAAAAGTTGAATTAACCTAATGCAGAGAAGGGCAGAAAGAAAGTGAGGGGTCAAGACAAGCAACCTGAATATCATCACAGACAAGGGAAACAAAGTCTTTGCAGCAACCATCTGGAGCAGAGACTTCAGAGAAACAAAGTCTGTTTCATCATATATACTTTTTCCTCAGACGTACATTTTGCTCACCTATAGGAAGCCACCAGCTTTAGCTTGTTAAATGTGCCATGGCAGAGAACAACAGAAGGCTTTTTATAGCGGCCAGCGTCATAACCTTTGGCCTGTAGCTAACCTCTCAGGCTGCTGTTGGCTGGTGTGAAGCTCACACAGCCGACAACAAATATTTATAACAATGCGTATATGGCTGTTTTTGCACTGTTTAACACAAACTTAAAAAATATACTATTTGCATTAAATACATGTTTATGTTTTGCTTAGACTTGGAGGAATTACAGGAAGAGCAATCGGTGCCAACCTGCCCTCCATGGAGGACCTGTACACCTCACAGGTCAAGAGGAGGGAGGACTTCTGCAGACCCCTCACACCTTGGACAGTCTCTCTGAACTACAGAACACTTCACACCGGAAGAACTAGACACACAAACACAGCTTCTTTCCCTGGACCATCACTCTGACGAACTGTTAATCCATGTCTATGGAACAGGATAACAGCCCCCAGTGTAATAAACTAGAAATATAACCGCTGTATACAACAATCTGATTTGATTGCACACATTTTTCTATTTTGAATGCACATTTCTTTTCTTTCCTTGTTGCCTTAGCATACAGCCTATGTACTGGAGTCAAATTCCTTGAGTGTTAAACATACTGTACTTGGCCAATAAAGATGATTCTGATTCTGATATTTGTGTGGACTGTTGCACAGGTCAGAAATACAAAACCCCCTTTTGCACTTCCCCCTTAATGTTGACATATCAAACAGAACCATAGGTAAGTACAAACCTGAAAGCTTAATCAACAGCTCTGAGGCCACCTTAACATTGATATCCTGGCTCAGCAAGCTGTTCTTGGACATGGGGCTTCCTTCCCTTGGTTTCACTGGCCCTGGACGCTCTGAGGCTGCTGCCGTCCCTGTTGGCCCATCCTGGCAGAAAGTCGCAGGGAAGCTTGACTGGGCCTGGCTCTGGGATTGAGAGGATGGTCTAGGGCTCAGCGCTTCCTCCACTTTGGGCTCTTCCTTCAGGTGGAACGGAGACTTGAGTGTCTCCTTCTGGTTGGCTGCTGCAGCCAGAAAAACAGAAAAGACTGAAGGAATGAGAAGAAGTATAAGAGGAGAAACTAGGAGGTGGCAGTAGAAGGAGAGAGCTAATACTTGTGACTGGTATCTGAAAGACGTGTTAAACTGTGTATGGCATGTTTAACCCAGCAATAATTAGACATATCAATTTGCGATAAACATCTATCTTTAAATTATTATGGTGATAAATGAAAAAACCCACCTGGAGTGTAATGTAATGTTTAATTTAAGGACATTTTTCTTTCACGCTTCATATGAGCAAAGAAGACTATACATATACACAACTTAATAAAGGAATGAGCACAGGGCATTCATTCAAATGAAACGGAACAACAAAGTAGTCCATGACTGATCTGCACAGGCCTACTGCTGCTACAGACACCACGGTTGGCATGCTGTGAGCAAACACAGAGGGTGCAATCTCATGACTGTACTTTTCTCTAAGTCTTTATAGTTCATCAGCAACAAATTCCCAATTGCTCTTCTTCTTTTTTCACACACTTCTTCACACTGCACCCTCCACATCTTATTCCTAACACCGTTCTACTTTAAGTCTGGTTTCCTCTTCCCTACTTGCCTCTGACATCGTTTGAATCCTCTTCAAATGTAAGGACATGAAATAATTCCTGTGCTTCTGTGGGGCGCGACAGGAATCGGCTAAACTCTTATCTGCCATCTCTGCAGTGTGTAGCCTGGGTTAGGGACTCAATTGTCACACGGATCCCTGTGCTCTAAACTCATCTTCAAGAGAAACTGGGCCACATCTAATCCGCCTTAGATGAATAATTAATAATTAGACATGGAGCAACTTCCGATAGCCGCCAAGAAAAGAACAGCAGGGCAAGCGCATCTCTTTGTGTCTCTTAGCACAGTACACTACGCTGTGTACAAATCAAAGCTTACACAGCCATAACTTACCGCAGACTTGAAATTTTAAATGCCTGTAAAACACAGAATCTGTAAAAATGTTTTCAAATATATTCTAGTGTTTATGCAAAGGTACTTAATACCTTTATTTCATTTGGTGCAACTATGGGAGCCATGGGAAAGGTTAAAGAATACTATTGCCCACGACTGGAACTGGATGTGACACCATACCATTTTGCAGAATTATAACACTAAGCACTTCACTAAGTGGACTAAGTGATTGGTATTTGAATACTTGAAACTGCTACACTGAGGCATGTTCATTTATACTGTTAGAGGTAATTTTATTGTTAGCTGCACAATACATATTGAAAAAATATAACCGGTACCAGCCCGCCCAGCTGAATTACTGCTGGGTAGTTTGTGAGTTGTCCAACAGAGATGAATAAAGTTTTATGATTATACAATACTTTATAGATTAATCTGGTTCAGAAAACTAACTCAAGTTATAAAATAACATAGTGGAGTAAAAAGTACAATACTTTCCCCTGTAATGTAATGAAGTATCAAAGTATGAAGTAGGACAAAATACTCAAATGCAGCACTGAAGCCTCAAAATTGTACTTGAGTACTCTATCTTGAGTAAATGTACTTAGTTACATTCCACCACTGGTTTATCTAAGCAAGAATAAAGCTTGCAGGGAGTGTGTGTGAAATCCCATGATAACAAATGTGGCAAAGGTTGTTTTCTATATTTCTAGAATGATCTTTAACTGTAAAAACAGCCGCACCTCAGTTATTTTTTTCCTCACAGCAGGATGTTTTTAATGTCACTGTAAAAGTATTGATCATGCTACATGAAAAAAGCTAATTCATTTGTTGGTGCTAATACAAAAAACATTTTTTTCCAAATTTGAATGTTAATGTTCTTTGACTATGGGAAAGTGTAGCATCAGCAAACACACACACACATCTTTTGACCTACCCCTTGATACTTGTGCAGTTTTAAACTACAGTATCTGTACACCCTAGCATGTACATTTAGCTGTCTCACACATGCACATGTGTGCACACATGTGCGCGGCATGGGTATAAGCGAGGCTATCATTCTTGTGCAGACCGCTGTCCAGTCGCCTCTGGCCCCGGCAGAGATCTGCTCTGCTCCTCACCCTACTGTCTCACCTAACATCTCTAACCGCCACAGACCTGCCGCTCCCCTGCCTGCATCATCAATCTGTGCCTGCTCCAGCCCCTCTGATTAATGATGATCTATGCTCGAGAAATAGAGGGCTCAGGGACAGGGGATACAGGGCAGGAAAAGGGGACAGGTGCTTGTGTTTTGACCACCCATGTGGTGCCACGGTGCCATAATGCCACACCATGGCAGGCCGGGGCTGCAGTTCAAAAGGGGGAGAAGGAAGAGGTTTAGCAGTAGGGGGAGGATGTGGGGGGGACAGTGTCTTTAGGTTCAGGGGCAGTGGTGCACTGTCACACGCAGCACCAGCTGGAAATGTCACACTGTCAGATGTCAGCAGGCAGGCTAAGTATAACCTGGTCAGCACCTGGAAGGACGTCCTCTAATTAGAAGCGTGTTGGACCATGTTGGATCAGACAGGGACAGCACACTTGGTCACTGCCTTACAAACACACATAAAATTACACTATCCCACTCAGACTTATTGAGCTCTTAAGAAAAATCCTTACTTTCTATTGCCATATACAACAGTACATATGCTGCGTCATGGTGCTTTTGAACCAAATGCTGGAATGCACACAAGCCACTGACAAATACAGACTCAACACAAACTTAGATCCTCTCCTGTGTGGCGTCTTGAGAACTAAACAACCCCAGGACGCACACTTACACACAAAGTCATACCATGCCAGTGACCTTTTAAATTGTCGCTATAAATAGAGTGCATTTCAACTCAGAATCTATGTTACAGAGGCCAGTGAATTATTTAGTAGGCTAATCAAATGGGCAAGTTTTTTTTTTATTCCTCCAAGCTCAGTAACAAAAAGCTAGAGCACAGTAGTGACAGGAACAATTTGGCCAACAATGCCAAGCTTACACATTAGCCTTTTGTCTGTCAGTTTCACAATTGCATTGTGAGCATTTGGTCTCTGGCAGATCATCCTGTGAAGTGAACACAGATCTGGGGAGGAGATGGGCATGTCTGAGTGACTGGGCTTCGCTTATGTGAGCTTCTTGCATGTGAAAGTACATTCTCAAGCCAATGTCAGTTCCCTGTGCATAATACTGTAAGGCTACTTGTAGCTCAGGGTTGACAATACTATCGGTTTGTCTCCATGTTATCACACCCTTCTGACACCTGCCACCAACACTACTTCCATCACCATTCTTCTCTGTTTCTCTCCTTTTCGCCACACTTTCCTCTCGCTCCTCATCCGTCTCACTGCCAAGCGCTTGTCCACTCCGCCTCACCTCTCGCTCCGTGGCCAGGGCTTTCATCAAATAACTTCATTAGCTTTCCACCTCTGTCACACCAGCCTGCTCCCCCTCTGACAATTGGCTGCTGTTTTCTCACGGAGAAAAAAAAAAAAGTACAGAGCTACGTGGGGCAGGTTGAGAACCCAACAGTAGCTGACAGTGTGCTAGACACTGGACAGTGATACTGATGGCTGCAGTGGGGATGTATGGACCAGAGGTCACACACAAACGGCCTGCCTGTATCTGCTTGTGCAGAACTGGAAAGCAAAGGGCATTAAATCTCGATGTTCACAGACAAACCTAAAGACAAGACATTTTAAAATCCTAAATATCAATCTATGAGATGGTGCAGCAAAGCTCAAGTGTGCACTTAGAGTGTTTTCAGATATAATAAAAATAATGCATATCATTCAGATAATGATATATATTTTGTTCAGCAAAAATTCTTAAAAGCACTCTAGGTTCTCCATGTAGAGTGTTAAAATTCTGCCTGTGCTCCATCTCACTGTACCAAAGCGTTGCATGCAAGATACTCTCCCAGGACAAAGACAAATAAGACAACTGCAGAAGCATCATGACAGATGCAACACCTCCCACAACCCCCTGCATGCCAATTATTCACACCCAGCCAGGGTCAAGCTCGTTGTGCCTGTGTCACCGCAGCGGGGGTTGGGGGTGTGTGCAGTGCCCACTGTCATTATTAACTTGGGGTCCGCTGGGCACAGGGTAGGGGCTGCGCATTTCAAAGTGCCTCAGTGGCTTTCATCTCTGAATCAAAATGTGGATCACACTGGATAGCTAACGGTTGTGTAAGCATGCAAGGATAAAAATCAAAGCGTATGGGTATAACACTCAATGGAAAGCAGGGCAGCCCAAACATGATATGATTATTATGTCAGAGGTCTGGAAGAGGTCACTGTTTTTTATGCCTGGGGAACTGAATGCAACTCCCTCTTTGCCTCTTTCTTCCTCTCCCTTTATCTGTCACTTTCCCTCTTTTTTTTTGTCTCCCCCACCCTAGGCCTCGTGGGATTGAGGCACTGAGACTGCAGTGTAAAAGTAGGAGGGATGAGCTGCTCGTGTATACACTCAATCTGCAGTGAGGTCAAAAGAAATACAGTCTAGAGGTCCAAAGAACTTCCGCACCTCTCCCTCCTCTGGCTACTCCGTGGCATGGGTAAGCTTCAAGGATCTGAGCCCGGCTCGTCGCAGTTTCATAATCCTCTATCTCTAACTCCGCCCCCAACAAAGGGAGACCCTTGTGATCAAAGAAGCAATATTCATTAAAACCCATCATCATGCATTCAAGTTCAACATCCTCTCATCCTGCCTTTTTCTATCCCCCCTCATTCTCCTTGAATGATGTCCTGACTAAGATGTCCGATACTTGACACTGGACTGACATTGCAAGGAGCCATCTTGTCTCCTCTGGGATTTGCCTGGGCTTGATTGTGAAGTCTGAGAGTGAAGTGCAACTGGCACCCAGGGGGCATCCATGTGGAGCCAGGGCGTGCGAGATCGAGGGGGAGTTAACTGAGCCGGCCCAGTCCCTGTGCATCCTGGCAGGGTCATAGGATGGCGCTGAGGGTGCTAATCATTTCAAATTATGAATTCCTTTTTAATTATGAATTATGCATAAATTTTTAATTAATCTAATGTTCCCAGGGTTTTTTCCTCCCATCCTCACTCAAGATATCAATCTAATTACACAGCATTAAGTTGAAGAGTGCCAGCCGTAGCCTCAACCCCGGAGATGAACCTTGGTCAACCTTTTTCCATCAATCTTGCCATCGTCTCCAAGTTCATCCTTTGATATTCTGCAACATGGTGAAATGCATCTAAACACAGCCTGGACCTAGAATACCTTAGAGCAGCATGTTTGTCAAGTTTGTTTAGTTTTTCACAATACTGCCAAATCATTATTTTGCAAAACTTAGGAAGATTCCGTGCCACACTGCCACTTTTCCAGTGACAGAAAGTGCAGAATTTCATGATGACTTTGAGTCTTAAAGTACATTATGAATGGAAAATACTACTGTTCCAGCTAGGTGTTGAGATAAGCAGGCACACAGCATAAGAAAGGGCAAGAATAAGGGCAGCTGTTCCATTTCTAATTTTCTTTTCACCAAAGAGGAGCAGCTCTATGGTTTACAATCTTTAATGCAGGGTCCAAACTGACTTATACTTTCATCTCATCAACGTCTTTAGAGTAACTTTTGTTATCACTTTGTTATAATACTTAAAGACAAAGAGACTTGTTAGCAGGAGGAAGATGCCTAGAGGTTGCAGATCCTCAACTCCCCTCCCCCAGCTTGATAAGATGTGGGTTAAGAAAATTAATCCCTGCACAACTACTGTTGAGGTGCCCTTGAGCAAATTATTTAGTCCCCAACTGCCTCAGTGGAGCTAATCAGTGGCCAGTAAAGAGGACAGAGGACGAACCCCTGGGCTGACATCAAGAGTCATTTTAAAACTGTGTGCAAAAAAATCTACCCTACTCAACACCTTGGATACATGATAAAAAAGATGTAATACCAATTGGGTATTGTCAAACAAAATATGGTTCAAAACAGGCCATGTAAGATTAGAGGTAAACATAGTGTACATACTCATAGACTTTAGTGGTGTGGTGTGCAGTGACTAATTTTTATGTGCACGCTGTACTCTGCTGCAAAACATTCTGATAACATTCTCCTTCATGGTACGCTTCAAATCTATTATACTCAGAACGTCTCTTCTCTTTTGCTTATTCCACACACAGTCATCGTACACAGAAGCGACACTACTCAAGGAGGAAAGCTAATAAATCTGATGAGGTGGGTTTAACAGGATCCACAATTTGTACATAGATTGTTACTATTACTTTGATCTGTCATCTTTTCAATATAGATTTGATCTATATTTGTTTATTCTGGGTCTTTCTATCACAGTGGTTGTTTATTAAGTATATCCACCTAAAGCTAATGCTGTCCTCTAATAATTCCTCCTGTCATGAAGGTGAGAATGTTCAGGTTTCACATTGAGGCTAGGCTGAAGAAATATGTATAATGCAGCATGAGGCCAGGCTGAAGAAATATGTATAATGCAGCAGAATTCATATATAGTCTATGTACTGGCAAGACAATGCTATGCTAAAACTTGGATCAGAAACACCTGCTGTTATGTAGGTGGCATTAGTTACTGTACATAATGGACCATCACAATACATATATATGCATATATTGTTAGAAATATAGAGACACCACTCCTTTGTCTGTGTCAAGTTTCAGAGCTGTTATTAAGAAACATGATATGATGTTATTGTTCTCAAGACTGGCACAATGAAAATAGCTCAAACCTATTTACTCATATATACAGTATTATATCTTCTTCAAATCGGTGTCCTAAGGGCAAGTTCTGAATTCTTCTGGGTGTTGTCTTAACCAGTGGTATTTCCAAGGCACAGACTCGAGAGAAAGTTGTGAAAAGGCCCTGGCCTACTTTTCTATCATACTCATGGGAAATACAGGTTGTGAATAAACCTGGGTACAAGTGAAGGCATGCCTGATTTCGTCAACATGCACAATAACAGTTGAACTCTGAAAAACACCCACACACACACACAGGTCTGGGTCTGAATCAACCTAAGATCCATGCAGTGTGATCTGGCATATGTTGTGTAACCTATTTCCATTCAGTGCATCGTTTAAAGTACAACACCCATGGAATTTTACCTTCTCCCTGTGTTAATGCCTGTGAAACTCTAAACACATTAAAGCATGTGCCACTGTCAAAACCCACAACTGTCGTTTCATCACAGCTCTGAGCTAACTCACAGCAGCCATTGTTTCAAAATCCATTAAAAACAGCTCACAGAGACAAACTGCAGTCTTGACCTGAACCGATAAACACAAAAGTGTTTACACTTCTTACAAATGTTATTTCTGGTGACAGTGAAGAATCAAAATAAAACTTCAGGCAAAGGTGAAACAACATCTAACTGGAGATCAGAATGGATGCCTTCATAATGAAGCCTGCAAGAAGTGAAATACTTTTCATAAAAGTGCTATTGGAATAATTGGAGTTAAAAGTCAAGCAGAGAAAAATGTACAATAAAACTAGACAGCACTCAGAGAGCGCAAATCTCCGCCAGGGCTGCTCGGTTTCCCCATAATGCCATTACACGTAAAAGCAATGTTCCCATGACAGTTTGACCATGATGATACAAGTTGTATCTGTTTGACCGAGTGTGAGGCTTAGTTACACACACAGGGTGCAGGACAGAGGCCACAGCAGGGCAGACCTGACCATGATGATACGAGTTGTATCTGTTTGACCGAGTGTGAGCCTTAGTTACACACACAGGGCGCAGGACAGAGGCCACAGCAGGGCAGACGGGAGGAGGAAGCCTGTGCTTTCACATAAGTTCCTATTTGCAGGGTCATGCGGAAGTGTGGCCGTGTTAGTTTGTTCTTTAGAACATAATTGCAAGGGGGAAAAAGTTTCATTTCTCTGATTCAGAGCTGTATTTTGCTGCCATTGCTCCCTCTCTTTATTCATGTTATCTAGCTCGATCACTGCTGTTCTCTCTCTCTCTCTCTTGGTGGAGGAGATTTTGAACACAGGCAGTGAAATTTGGACACAAAGTTGAAAAGAATGACAACAAGTTAGGTACAACTTAGATCCCTTGAATAAAACATAACTAGAAAAATAACAGGCCCATGCTGCAGGTCTCTCGAGTGTCCAATGTTAGCCGCCACGTTGGAACGGTTTTTTGTCCTCCATGGCTGTGTGCCAGTCATGTGACTGTAAAACTATGAATTGGCCCTATCTCACAATGGAGATGAATCCTTTAAAAATTCCTGGATCCTGATGACAATCCAGATCAGCAGCAAAATCTAATGAATTGTTCTGTGGGCCATACCCTACATCTCCCAGAAATTTCATCAAAATCCATTCATTATTTAAATCCTAACCACTATATCTGGGTGATACAGGTGACACCAGTGCTTGCCCCACCCTCATTAACACCACTGTGCTGCTCTTAACCCCAACCGCTTCAGTGGAGCTGGTCACTGGCCAGCAGCTCAGTCTCTGGCTGTACTGGGCAGATTCCAGATGCGAATCTGTAACTGTGTGAATGTGGGCAAGGTTGCAAATGAGAGGAGTGCTGTATTACACGTTGGTCCAGAATCTCCCATAGGTGTTCAACTGGGTTGAGATCTGGTGACTGTGAAGACCATATCTTATGATTCACATCATTTTCACACTCATCAGCGAACCCCCGTTCCCTGTGGATGGGGGCACTGTCATCCTAGAAGAGACCAGGTTTTTCCTGTAATTTGTTCCCTGTCCTTACATACATGGACTGACTGAATTAGAGCTGAATCAAGTGGCCAATTAATTTTTTATTATTATTCATTTTAAGCATCTTTAAGCAAAAATGGAAAACATTTAGGGCTTCCAGCTTTTTAAATATGAATATTTTCTGGGTCCTCCATAATACCAGACTGAACATCTTTGAGTTTAAACTGGTCAGACAAATCAGGACATTTTCAGATGCCATCATGGGGATGTTTTGCTATTTGTTGATATTCTATAGATAAAAGATTTAACTAATTACTCAAATAAATAGGCAGACCAATCAATCATGAAAATAATTGTAAGATGGGGGATCTAGATTAAGTCTTGTAACTAACCTGATAACTTCATAAGGAGGTCAGTAGCTGTCTTGGTAGTGATGTCAGGGCTGAAGAGAGAGGCTGTGGTTGGTCCACTAGGACTGGATCTGACCCCACCTCCTATCCCAACTGCAGAAAGGTCCAGAGAGTTGGCACTGCTGCTGGGATGGTCCCTGCAGATGCTAAAGGGGGAGAGCACAGACAGGTCTCTCTCCTGTGGCTCCTCCTTGATGTGGACATGATTGGAGGACGCCTCGACTGGAGGGGACGCCTGCTGCTGAGTGTCTGAGTGCAGTGGGGACGCCTCTGTCCCCCTCAGGTCCGCAGAACCACTATCACCCATCAGGGAGCCCTCGCCCTCCGTGTCTGTGGTGAGTTCCTCTTTTACCTTAATGTCTGTGCGGGGGAAGTGCTGGTGGCAGCGCATGTGAAGCTTCAGGCTGAAGTGACGGGAGGAGGTGAAGGGGCAAAGTTCGCACTGAAATGTCTCACCCCGGTCCTGGTGCTGATGTACCTGAGGATGGAAGACAGGTCTATGTGTTAAACCATTTCTTTTCTCTAGTACTACAGGACACCAAGATGAAAAACAGGATGTTTTGCTTCATTTCAGTTACATTTGTGAGATTCTACTACAAGCATGCATGATAGAAGAAAAATAAGCACTGATTAAAGATGATGTGGGGTGGCATGGGGTGCAGGGTCACAAAATGAATATCCATATGGTCTCACCTTCATGTGGGACTTGAGATTGTCTTTGCGAGCACAGCGGAAGGGACACAGGGGACACTGGTGGCTTTTCAAGCCTGTGTGGATAACCATGTGTCTCTTCCAGTAGCTCTTGCGTTTGATGACCAGTCCACAAACAGGACACTGGAATGGTTTACCACCATCCTCAGGAGAGCCTTGAGGGGATCACAGGTCATTGTTACCTTTTACAAAGAACATTCAAAATGTATTATGTTGAAGAAATGCACCTTTATTACTTTAAGGTAATAAAAATCGTGCCTATTCTGCAAGGAACAACTTCTACACACCTAATGGTGAATCCTACGAAGGGAAATGCCAGCTGGAAGCAATGGAACAATGAAAGTAAAACTCAACTCAACTGTTTTAGTATCTCGATTATTGTTGTTGGCTTCATATCCGGCATACATTATTGTTTAATTGGTCTTATTAGAAAGAGGCATGATTGCATTACAAATTCTACAAGGGCCTGTCAGGATGGCTTCATAAGTATTCCAGCACCGTTCCTTGAAAAACATCTGGTAATCAGTGTTTGGTGAAATTACTGTGCTCAGCCATTCATTGACCTGAGGTGTAAAACCTCGAGACTGCCTATTTGCAACAATAAACTGCCATCTGCGGCCCAGCCTCTCCAAGCACAGCAGAGATCACAATGAAAAAATGACTTCTGCTTTCTCTAAGTTGAGCCGAGTGAAGCTGAAACAGAAAAAGGGAGTGGAAATGTGCCTGAGTTTGGTACATTTTTCTTAGCATACCTGTTTCCGGTGTAATCACAACCATGTCTGAGAAAAAGAGAGTGAGCTTTCCTTATATCTGTACCATGCAGAACATAACAGTGCAGTAGTTTTATAGTGGTACTGGTAAGGGACGATAATAAAACAAGACATGACAGTCAATAATCAAGGTCACATTTTTCAGTCTGGCGACCAAACAACTACCTGCATTTTTACAGTGCTGTTTGACCTTGACGGCTTGTGGGTTTGAGCAGACCCCCTTTTTAGCATGCAGATCACAGACTATTACATCAACTGCCTCATCTGTCTGAAGTCAATTTGATCCAGCCATTTTAGATTTGGTGGGGTTGTGACACAATCCCTCAAAAGTGCCCATCCATCTCCCTGAAAACATTCTGCTCTCCCTAAAGCCTACTTGGTTAGAGCCTTGCACTTTGAAGCTTTCTCTCTCCCTGTGCAAGAGTAAAATCTTTGTGCGCACCCTTGTTTGGGTTATATGTCGACATTTGAATACACACACAGAGATTTTGCATGACCGATTGTGAATAACGGAGAGAGGGCGAGACAAAGACAGAGAGAGCGTGCGTGCATCTGTATCCAGTCAGTGGAAAGTATGATGTGTTTGGTTTTAGGTCTGCTGTGCTGATCAGTGCAGAGGGCTCTGGTTAGAGGGGTTTGAAGCCAGGAGGAGGCTGCCGAGATGGATATGGACTCCAAGGCTCCCCGCTGTGCAGAGCGCACACTGATGGCCCCCTTTTGGCAGCACGCACATCCGAGCACAAACGAGTTGGTCTGGGAAGGCAGTGAGGTCTCAGTCGGAACCCCCCGTCGAGCCCACAGACCATTTCCCAGACTAGAAGGCCAGCCAGGGCTGTTGTCTCTTGGCTATGCTTTCTGCTCACTGACAGTTGAGGCTGAGTCTACACTACTTGCTAATTCAGTGCCAGTGAGGTGAGAACAAAACTATCACAAAACTAGAGAAAACGTCTTGGAAGTTCAGAATTCTGCTTTGTGAGATAGTTCTGGTAACAAGTAAACCTGCTACTCCCCCATGCAATGACAGCAAAGACATTTTATTTATTATTAGGAGTCACACTTCGATAGGAATATTAGTTTTAATTTATCGTCCCAAATGGTTTTAAGTTACATTTCACGGTATCGGTGTTGTTATTTCTTTGGCAAATGCTGAATGGGAAGAAGGGTAATGATGGAGGAAATATTTCTCTTGAGCTTCAAGGGCACAGAGTGAAGGGGGATGAAAACTTTCCATGAATGAAATACAGCTGAAACGATCTAGAACCCTCAGTCTCTCTCTTCTATGTAAACATAAGGTCATTTAATTTCTTTATAGCCACCTTGATTGAAATTAGCTTGATTTCCCCAAGTAGCCAGTGTTCAACACAACACAAAATGTTTTGTAGCGTTTTGTAACTGTGTGAAAATCGTATAACTGGGAAAACAGACAAATGTACATAACTGAAAGCTACAGTATGTAACTTTTTCAGACATTTTTGTTGTAGAAATATGCTCCAAAACTTGTCTTAATGTGGAGAGGTGCCGTTGAAGCGTACTGCAACCCAGAGATATAAGTTTCTAAAAGGTTTTGAGCAGGACGGACTTTTCTAACCGATCAGAGGATTGCAATTATTTCTGCATAACTGGTAGGTATGTTGCATTTTTATTTCTTGTTGGGCAGAGTGTGACATAGTGTAGCATACTGTAGTAAAGCAGTGTGGAGGAGGGAGAGGGAGTGTCGGGTGGAGCAGAGTGGATTGATTTGGAGTTTCATGCTAGTGCTATGTTAAATTATATACCGCAGGTTTAAGCCGAGTTCTACTCTTATTATCTGTACTGGTGCACCTATGACTTTGATCAGTTGTTACTATTTATACAGTGATTTTGATGCATGTAGTATTACTTTCATGGGCCACTTAGATTACCTGCTTGGCTGTTGGGTTTGCCTCTGCCCTTTGGAGTAGAGGGTAACAGCAACTCTAGGTTCTGGGTGGGTGTAGAGGGCGTGGGGGCCTTCCGGTTCTTGTCCAACAGGGGCTTCACATCCTCTTGGAGGACTCCAGCATTCGTCAAGGGGGAACCCTCCTTCTTATCTGCCAGTAGGTTACCCGCTGCCCTGGCTGCCACCTCTTTGAGCAAAGCAGCAGAGGATGTCATTGAAACAAGTGAAAGGAAGGAACTTGCTGAGGCTTGGTGGTCAGTGGTGGCACTGGCCGTTGACAAGGCTTGGCTCCGCTCACTGACTTTCTTGGAAAGTGCGGCGAGGGTGGAGCTAGCTGACTGTGGGCTAAATGGAGAGCTGAAGGTATCAAAGCGCACCACATCATCTCCTCGACCAGATCCTCCAAGGGCTGGCATTGCAGATGAGGCAGAGGTGGAGGAGGAAGAAGAAGTCGTTGAGGAGGACGCCACCGCATTTTTGTCTTGAAGTACAGCATTTGCTGCTGCTTTTAACTTCTGGATTGCAGAGTCTGGGGACAGGCTGGAGCCACAGGGTGTTGAACAGCTGGCTGGTGGCCATTTATCTGCAACACCTGCCCATACAAAGCCACTGCCATTGCTAGGAGTGACCGAGTTAAAGGGTTCAAGGGGCTCTTGCTTAATGTTGGTGAGTGAGGGTGCCAAGGAGGCAGGTGAGGCTGAACCACTGTTGTTGTTGTTGGCCAGTTTTCGGGCAAGAGCACTTAACTGCTGGGCATGGTGGGAAGACGGGGAGAGGGTCAACGACGGAGCTAGACCTATTGGAGGAGACTCCCCTCCAGCACCTCCCCTGGACCGGCCCAGGAGCTCCCCAGTGTCAAGTTTCAGTGAGCCAGCCTCAAGGAGGCGCCGTAGGTTGCTGCTGAGGGGTTTTCCCAGGGCACGAGACGCTGCCTCACCATACAGTGATGACACCACTGTGGAGAGTGTGTCCTGGGCCGAGAATGCACCTCCATCCAGTCCAAGAAGTTCCAAAGAGGCACGATGTATGGGTGTGGGGCAACCCAGTGAACTCTCACCTCCACAGGTGTCATGGTCGGCAGACCCAGTGCTGACTCCAAGCCGTTCATCAGGAGAGGAGCATCTGGGCAGGAGGAGCTCATCCTGGGTGTCTCCATAAGATGACGACTCTGAACGTGTGTCAGAAGCATTCCCAAACCAACCTTCCTCCTCCACAGCACTGGCATCAGGCCCTCCGTCCTCATTGCTGTCCACATCTGGAAGACCAATAAAAATATACAATTTACTTCCAGGGGACAGAAATAAATGTTGTGCAAGCAAGGAAAATACCACCATTCTGCTCTAGTGAACAGTCAGACTAGGCTTTATCTTTTAGCTACACATGAGTATCCTGAGTAAAAACATTGAACACTTATTAAGTAATGTTAATAGGCAAAGTCATAGTCCGCATACAGCTTTTAATACTGGAAGCAGTATTTACTACTCATTTTTATTATTTTACATGCTTGTTTGAAGCAATTAGTATAATATGCACCATGTGAAAGCCTAACTGGGCCTAGGCTACTGAAGATTCATACCTGGCCAAACCCAAGTCTAAAGGACATTTAAAGCTGCATAAACACACTTCAGTGCTCAGCAAGGAGACCACTAAAACGATTTCCAGTAGAAATTCAACTTCTTTCCTTTATAATAGCAGCTTTGCAAATGATGCATTCAAGATGTTTGAGTAATTTAGATTTTGTGTCCTTTTTAACCATATTTTTCCCACCCTTGGTCTGGAAGAGTCGAGTAAAGGGGTTACCATGACAACAGGTCCTTCTGGGAAGCTAGACAGCAAAGATTAGGGTAATGGAGGTTACAGAACTATATTAATATTCATGAGCCTGCAGATACCACCGGGGAGCCAATAAGGATAGGGTTAAGGTCACCAAGGGTCATTAATATACACTTCATGTATCAATATTCATAAGCAAAACATTACAGCTTGCCAGACAAGGGCGAACAAAGAAAAGTGAATATTCCTGATACATATTAACAAACCTCCATAAGAATATGTCAAAAACACCAAGCCTGGGCAAAACAAAATGTCAAAACTGACTTTTTTTCACCTCTTTGGGTTACTGTACCCAACCTCACAAACATCTGATAAAAAGGAACTGGCTGAGATTCCTGAGAAATCTGGGCACTCGTACAGCCGCAAAAAGATGAGGCTATGAGAGAATTATTTAAATCGTCTCACACACCAACATACATACATCCACACACTCACTTCACAACCCTGACAGAGACCTGGAGAATCTTCTCTCTGTTTACAGGCAAAGGCAAAATGGTTGCCAGGCAACCCAGCCCAGCAACCTGTTGGGATCTTTAGAGGTGGCTGACATCTGGCCAGTGTGGCTCACCATGGTCCAAAAAGGTGTCCGCAATCACAACCCACTATGACCGCTACTCTCTAGCTGTAACAGATATCAAACAGAGCTTACACACTTCCCAACATCTTCTCCAACACATACACACCTCCATTTCAAAGAAACACACAACCAAACACTGACCGAAAAAGGAAGATGTCAAAAGTCAACTGAACAAATTATGTTAATCCTTGGGCGTTCCAAACTGTCTAGCAGACATTACACAATAAACGGATGTCTAACAGACTTCACCTAGACAAGAATGCACAATGTATGTAAGGCTGATGATCATCACCCTTCTCATTTCTTCAAACTGATATAAAAGTGAATAAAAGTGCCAAATTACGCTTGTGTGACTGTGAACACAATTTCCTTTGGGCCTTGAAGCCATTTTGGCCACCTGGGTAGGGTTAACAGGAATAAGGGAGGGAGAGGGAGAAAACACCAGTGAGTCATACAGGGCAGGGCTTGACCCATTTCCATGTGACGTGTGAAAAGCTGCAAGAGCCACTAATGGCTGTAATGTGGTTAGAGAGAAATCGCTAGATTGCTGACCCAAGGTCTCAGCTTTGAGGCTGAACTCTCTTGCTTCCTAGGTTCACTATTTAAACCAAGGGTTAGGTGCAACTGAATGCAACACTACACCACAAGTCTTCTGCCAGAGTGTTACAGTGCACTGATGCACTCCACTGCCATGGCTTTGTATGTTACAGGCGAGCCACCCCTGTGGGCGGAATGACATTTCCCAAGGTCATGGTCTCTGGCCCAAGCTCTAAGGGGGCTTCGTCTGCACTTTGTACTTGCAACTGCTGTAGTATGCCCACCACACACATGAGGACAAACAACAGCACGTGCATACACATTTAAACTACATAATAACACATAGGCAAGAATGTGATTTAATGATGAAGTCCTCCCTGATGGCTTTTTTTTTTCCTGACACACATTCAATTGCTTTGCCTCGGGTATGGTGGTTGGCTCAGCGACAGTAACTGCAACCCCCATCGCTCCACTCCCCACCACTGATGGAAGCATGGCGATACGGGCTGAGGCGGTGAGCGTCTGCCACTGAAAAGGAACCATTTAGTGGTGTAATGGTGGGGATGACTTGCATGTTGAGACAAACAGCTGCAGGGTGCTCAGCAGTCTGGATCCGTTATCACTCACACATACGAGTGAATCAGTGGTAGTGCAGTGGCAGGGGATTTTCTCTCTGGGCCATAGCACCACCACATTACAGACAAAGAGAGCTATAACAAGTCAAAATGCAGGCTAAGGTTAAAGAAAGAGGCATTAAGCTTCAAGACTGGCCACAGTAAATTGTCTTGAGCTAGACCAGAGATGTACATTGAGGAGCTAAAAATGGTGTGATACACCTCTGTAGCCTCTGTAGCTTGCAGTGTTTGAAGATGTTTCTTGTGTTAACCTGTCACAGAAAAGAGACAAGGAGCTCACAGCCTGAAACTACAGCTGAAAACAGCTGGACAATTCAGGTAGTGAACTTGTTCACTGTTTCACCACGCAGCACCATCAACAACAATCTCCATTTGTGAATTTGGCAGGATTATTTTTGCTATGACTTTTCTATTACACGTGTATTTGTGTGTGCACGCACATACAAGTTCAGTACAGGAGTCGGCCAGACTTCAGCTAACACCGTCACACAGAATGATTACTGGTAAAGGGAAGGGTGTGATTTAGAGAAGGGAGCGAAGAGCACCGGACTGGAGTAAAGGTAGGTCATGAGGTCATCCATCACATGACTTGTGCGAGGCTGCTGACTAACATATTCCCTCTCTCTTACACACACACAAAACTACTCTGCGACTTAAGCCAGGCATGAAAATTGGCCTCACTGACCCCAGGCCAGAACAGAGTAGAGGGAGAGGAGGAGGGAAGGCGAAGGAAGGAAGGGAGAGATAGAGGGATGGTTCAGGGAGGGGTTGATTTGGCTGGGAAGGAAAGAAGAGGAGGCCATTAGCCGATTAAGGCTGGACGGAGGTGCATCAATAATGTGCTGATGTCAAAAGGAGAGTCATGCCCATGAGCTAATATAGCAATGAGAGAGAGGGAGCAGGGAATAGAGTGAGACGTAGTGCAGGTCAGGGAGTCACTAAAATCCTTGTTGACCACAAAGCCATAAAAAAAATGAAATAACATAAAAGGCTGCCACAACATGCCAAGACACAAGCCATCACATTTAACTCACCAAAATGATTAGCTTCACATCCTCCCTGCTATGACTGGGAAGGGTGATGGTAGGGTGTGTGTTTGGGGATGAATTAAGGAGTTAGAGCAAGGCGTGAGGACACAGGAAGGAAGGTGTAAGTATGGTAGTAAAGAAGGAGCCAGGGTGGTTAAGTATCCAGCTGGGCTCTAGCAGGGGTTGCCACGGCCGCGGGCCATGCTAATGAGCATGCCCGGCGGTCAGGGCTGCCTTATTAGCACTCACTGGACAATATGGTGGGAGAGATGCTCTACTGGTGGGCTCACGTCTCTGAAAATGACTAACAGTACTCCTGAGGAGGAGGTAATTCCATTAATTGGAACACACTGGATTAGGATCACTTCCCTTCCCTTTTCCATAATCTCTCACTTACTTGATCCCTTTCACAGATACATGCTGTCTTTTCTTCTTGTACTTGTAGGTCCTCTAGCTCATCTCCAGAACCAGGAACACAAATATTAATAATAAATAAATCACAGATGCTCTAAATAAATCCAGCTGGATATGTGGGAGCTAGCAGACATATTTTTCAACCCTTCAAATGAAATTATGCCCCATCAATCTGCTAAATGCTGTTGTTCTTTTGCAGAAACAAAATGGTAATTGCTCCAAAGTTTATCCATCATGTTGTTTCCATTAGGAAGTTGATGAAACACGACAACCAACATGAGAATGGCCAAGACGTGTGTCACCAAGGCAAAATGTCATACAATGGAGCAGGTAACTAATTTACCTTTGGTGAACTCAGTTATGTTTTTATGGCCTGTGCCCTGTGTTGGAAACCATGTGAATTAAGTGTCCATTAGTTAAACTGTTCTCTTAATATCAGTACTTCCATATACTATAGTAGTCAATTACAGTGGAAGGGCTTAGATGAAGATCTGGCCATATTTTAAGTTACAATTATGAAAAAACTATTTTAAGTAATGACACAGGAATCATTGTATTGTTCTTGTCCATATTGAATTCATCATTCAAACATTCGCAGAGTAGGTTGGGCAAAGTATGTGAACCCCTAGGCTAATGACCTCAACAAAGGCTAATTGGAGACAGGAGTTAGCAAGTCTAATCAATGAAAAAGTCTGGAGGTGTGGGTTAGAACTACTTTGACATAAAAAAGGTTCCAACATTCCAAGATTGCAATTCACAAGAAGCATTTTGTGGTGTGAACCATGCCTTGCAACAAAATGGATCCCAGAATATTTACAATCTGGTTGATTTGTATAAAACTGGAAAGGGTAATCTCAAAGAGGTTAGATGTTCAGTCCACAGTTATAAGTTTCAGCACCTTATGTTTATTTATACTGGTAACTTAGATGAAGATCAGATCACATTTTATGACTATTTAATGCACAAAACCAGGTCTTTCCAAAGGGCTCACATAATTTTTCATTGTACATAGTGGTATTCAAGCCCTTTACTCTGAGTAACTTGAAAATCTGACACCTATTTTTCTTCCATCCAAGAATACACTACACTATTAAACAGCCCTCTAGCAATTAAATTTGTAGACACAATATCTTAAACCAGAAAAAAATCCCCTGCATATAGTTATGTTGGCCCATCAAATACTATGAAGACACAGAATACTCCATTTCAATTCTCTGATATCTTGTCCAAC